TATTACGATTGCAGAATTGGTATTTTTTTTGTAAAGTGAAGTTTTGATGGCTGCAAAGTAAAATTCATTTATAGAGAGAGAAATGAATCCTAAATTTTTTTTTATACAACTTAGAATGGCAAACAAGCTGACGGCCCACCTGATGGAAAGTGGTAACCGTTGCCTGTAGACATGAGCAGTACCATGGACATAACAGAGTATACTGTTTCGCCCATGATACCCCCATGCGTTGCCATTCTCTGTACCCAGTAAATTCACACCGTATCCCACCCTTCAAACCGAAACACAGCCATGCAAACACAACTGCTTCACGTTTGAAACACGAATAGAACAGAAATTCAAATATTTTATTATGCATTGGTGATTTTTTTAATTTAATAAAAAATTGAAAAGATCGACTTGAAAAGATTGACGAGCAAAATCGCTGTTTTATTACAGGGAGATGCCTAATTTTGCAAGAGTTCTTGCGCATTGGTGTGATTTAGACTCTTATTTATATATTCACAAGGTATATAATAGAGTAAGTAATGCACGATATAACGTGAACTATTCCTTCTAGCACACCGTAAATAATGGGCAGGTGAACACAATGAGTGTTTGCCACACAATTACGACAAACTCTGATGTTTGGCTTCTGATAAACCCGATTCTTGTCAATACGTAAGCATTGTAAATGTGTTAGCTGATGCTATCTCAATAAGATAAGTGTCATCTGTTTGCTCAGATCCTCTGTACTGTATACGAGTACATATTTGCCAACACCGCTGAAAAAAGCAATAATTCTGATGCATCTTTTTATATGTAATCGTAGTAGGCTTGGAATATTTCACATGGTGAAATGAAATATCATATGATATGTGAAATCATACGTCACAACTGTTACATTGCTTTGTATAAATGCTACAAATAACTCGTTAATGAAATTGCAGATAATCCCTATTGTTCGGATTTATTCGTGAGTTATCCGCTCAGTTAGTTTAGACACCCGAATAGGTCGCAAAGTATCTCTTAAAATTAATACCATAATTCACGTTTCACTTTCCAACATACAATCGATTGCGATATTAAGTTGCTGCGAGCATATATAAAAATAAAGTAGTTAAATTAAAAATAAAAACTTTTTTCATGCAACTTAGAATAGCAAAAAAGCCCACCTAAAGGAAAGTGGTAAATTTACGTGTTGACACCCGTAAATGGCTCAAATAAAGTGTATATCTATCTATATAATAATCATAAAACTAGATCCCTTTAATCCGCTCACTAATGCGCAGAGAACTTTCAACAGTAAAGAATACATTTTAGGCCTCCGCCTGCGATCTGTGTTTATTTGCATAAAGCGAATTTGATGGAAAAACAAGGGCACTGAGATGCCGAGATAGACGCCTATCAGACGGATATAACCGCGGGGCGTAATGGCATTTGGACTGTCGCTTATTATATTTTCACTATATAATATTCGTTAACAAATACGAGAGCTTTGCAGTTATCAACTCTATCACAACAGCAGAAGGACTATTTGTGTTTCTATGATTTGGGGACGGAACAGAATGACATTGAAATGGCAAAATTATAGGCGTACCTAATAACTTGTACTTAAGCTTAAGGAGCGGGCCTTTGAATTATAAATTTGACAAGTTTTCCTGTTATTTGAATAATTATAAACAAAACGGCAATTTCCTTATAAAATTTCACAATTCTATCTTCCAATTTATTTATACTAACGTTATAAAGAGGAGAGATTTATTCTTTTGTTTGTATTGAATTAAACATAAATAGTACTTAATTGACTTAAAAAAATTCATCCAATTGTAGAAAACTATATTACCAGAAATTAATTTACAGGATACAGAGGAATAACACCTGAGCCCTCACGAATGGCAACGCATGGGAGGTATCATGGGCGAAACAGTATACTCTGTTATGTCCATGGTACTGCTCATGTCTATAGGCGACGGTTACCACTTTCCATCAGGTGGGCCGTCAGTTTGTTTGCCATTTTCAATAGTATAAAAACAAATACTAGCTGTAACAACGACTTAGTTACTAAGAAAACAATATTGTATCACTCTATTATGTCCAATTGTTTTGACAATATTCTTTATCCACCCATATTAGTAGTGACACAGAAAAAGTAACTCTAGCCAGACAGACATCAAAATCATTAGACCTCCGACCAATCGAGATAAGTAACGCACTATTCTGGCATTATTACCTCTACCGACATTGTCCAGGATACCAGCATTTGTTGTAAATATTAAGATAGTCTTTATTATCATAGTGTAACATCTATTTGGGGTGGGCAGAGACTATAAACTGCAATTTGCTTCTATTTTGATAAGTCTGCCAAGCTTCTTCTATTTCTATACATCTGTAGAAAAATAATTATATATATATATATATATTTTTTTTTTTTTTTTTGTTCGTTATAATACAGTGGGCGTTCTAAAAAACAACAAAATCTAAAAAAACCTTAAAGTTTAGCTGATAAAATAGAGAAATAAAAATAAGAGAAAAAAAAAATTATAAAATCTTTTATACAACGTCCATAGTTTGGACGCGGTTTGGCAGCGGATAATTGACTAGGAAAATCTGTCAATTTTTCTATTTGCATAATCACTACCTTCCGCCTTCAGCTTGTTAATACCTTATTGTTCTTGTTACAAAAAAAAAAAATTGCAGCTCAAAACTTGCTAACATGAAAATAAAAAAGAGGCATTAAAACTGGAATTATCACAGCTCAGTGATGCGAAATTATCTATTGTCGTAAGATTTATACTGGCTGTTACTCGGAACAATGGAGGAGGGTGTTGCTTTAGAAAATTAATCACTAAGTGGCGAAATTGAAAGATAATATAATTTAAATTAAAACAACAGCAACTCGCTGTTGTTATGGACATAACAGAGTATACTGTTTCCCCCATGATACCCCCCATGCGTTGTCATTCCTGAGGACTCGGATGTTATTCCTCTGTACCCTGTAAATTTACGCCATATCCCACCCTTCAAACCGAAACACAGCCTTGCAAACACAACTGCTTCACGATAGAAACACGAATGGGACAGAGGTACCCAAGCAATCGACTTTTGTACAAAGTCTTCCTCTCCCTCTCCTTCCCTCATTTCCTCTACATTCATCAATCTTTTCATACACGCTCGTCGGTTACGGGTACTTTTAATTTGGCCCTTCTTCAGCACGTCGCCTATTTGGTTTACTGTGCTCATATATTTTTTTTTAATTTCGATTTTATCAACTTCACAGACAATTCCCCACAAGAGATTAATTATACAACTTGTTAATTTAATTAGATCGTTACCGAGGGACTGGGGGTTAACGACAAAAATAATACTGAGTCAGGAACCAGGTCATCCGTCATGGGACTTTCGCTTTCTTCTTTACAAAGTTCTGTAATTAATTACGGTGGTAGCAGATAATATTTCAGCACACATAATTGCCTTTTGGAGACAGTTTTATGATTTTAGACAAATCGTAGGTACACAGTTGTAGGTGGGCAAGGAAATGGCCAAGTTTGAGTTGAGTTTATACGTTGTGTTATATTATTTGAAGTGGATTCAGCGATTAAATGATGCTTTGCTAAAGAAACTTCTTTAACCAATATTAAAATATATTTAACTTTTATATAACTAATACATGACGGACTTAATACCGTAAATCTTTATTGGTTAACTATGGTTCAAGTAGAAAAGTTTGTTCAAGAAAAAATTGAAAAATAATGCTAACTGAAAAATTTTATTAAAATATTAAAAAAAAAATTAAATTTTAATAAGACATATATTTTAAAATATATACATATATTATTTAAATTATTGACATTTAATATGTATATATATATATATATATATATATATATATATATATATATATATATATATATATATATATATATATATATATACATAATAATATAATAAAAATATTTGTCATATCCGTCAGTATTCTCCAACTATGACGATATATGCGTGTGTATATTTTATATTATATTATCCATTATTTATATTATATTATTATTCATATTGTTAATATTTTTACTCATTTAATAATTTAATACTATTTTAATGTTTGTCAAATACAAGGCATGCTGTGGTCGCCTATAAATGTAAGAACGGTGAGATCTGAGCTGCCAGTGTATTGTATTAAAACTTAGCTTTATTGTAGCTGTATCTTATGTTGGTAATCCTATAAATAAATAAATAAATAAATATCAAATACATGGTAGTGTGTGTAACGTCTTTTTTTATCGATATAATGTATTTTTATGCGTAATAAAAAATATTTTTATTCTGTACTCTTTCTTTATATAAACTATAAGTACTTCATACTCCTTCGTTCGCGCAATTTTCGTAAAAAGGATTTTGCTTCACGTATTAATATATAGGTATATAAAGAGGTCTATCAAGATAGTAAAAGTTTGTACTCTCTATACTGTATTGGTATTTGTTCAAATGAAATTAGTGTCAAGAACTTCGGAATTATGTTTAGTGGTAGAGGCTTCGCAGACTATTCGCAAGGAACTTGTCGACTTCTCGTGTTGTGGTAAACGTAATTTTCAACTTGCTAACAATTTCTAGTCTTAGCAGGGAGAGTGTCTATGTACTATTTGTATGGTGTTTTTTTTTTATGGGTGAAAATGGTATGGTGACCCCGTTTGCGCTAATGGAATACGCTGGCGGAGCACCAATGAAGGGTGATAGATGAGAATGAAAACAGGCCAGTTAGCCCATCATGATGAATTCATCAGGAATTAACCATGATAGTTTCCAGGGGGAACCGCGAGGAGGTCGACCTGGTTGAGTATATTGCTAGCAATGGGATTTTTAGTCTCCATTACTAACAATCCCTTTCCCCCCTATTTGTATGGTTGTTTCATGATAGAATAACATGTTTGTCCACCATACGAACCCAGAGTATGAACACACCAAAAAAATCATCAGGTTTTTGAGAAGAATTAATTTATAAACTAATTTATACATTTTTGTTTCAGTTCGGTTCCTGATATATATAATACTTATATGTAAGTGTTGTTATTATTTTACTAAATCATCTTAGCTTGTACTTTCATCATCATCATCATACCAGCCGTTAACTATCTACTGCTGAAGTTGCTTTCCCCTGGCAAAATCCGCCGTCTTGCCAGTTTCTCTTGGCAACTGCAGTTAAACGTCAGTAATATTTTAGAAGGGATGCTGCTGAGTATTCTTTGACCATTAAATTCCCTTAGTCACCTCTTAAGGCATTCACGGAAAAGGAAGGGGGTGGCTAATTCTACGCCGAGACCACGCAGCTGACGGCTGACCTTGCACTATCATCATTCCAATCAACATCCGTCCACAGCTGGACGTAAGCCTCCCCCATAGACTGCCATAAACAACGGTCCTGAACCACCTGCATCTACTGACTACCTGCAATGCATTTCAGGTCGTTACTCAATTTAGTGGGGGGTCTTCCTACACTGCGTTTACCCGTACGCGGTTGCCACACAAGAACCTTTTTTCCCCATGCATTCCACATAGTGCAAGTGCACTTTATTTTGTTCCCTTTCTTATTATAATGATTTTTTGTAAACCAAAAACTATTGTTCAAAGATATCGATCGATCGAGGTAGTTATGTATACTAACATTAGATAACAGTCCAAAATTACCTTATTAAATATCAAGATATGACGGTTAATAAGTTAATTTAAGATAATCACGTTACGTATTACCTGTATATAATTTTACTACATAATTACCTCGACTTGATTGAATAACATTCATAGATGTTAATAGATAATCAGCAATAATTAGCTATATAGAATTACTCGGCATGTATAAGCATATATTAAATCTATAGAGAATAGGCATAGAGTTATCTATGTTTCTTTTTTTATACAACTTAGAATGGCAAACAAGTTGACGGCCCACCTGATGGAAAGTGGTAACCGTCGCCTATAGACATAAGCAGTACCATGGACATAACAGAGTATACTGTTTCGCCCACGATACCTCACATATTTGAGGACTCAGGTGTTATTCCTCTGTACCCTGTAAATTCACGCCATATCCCACCCTTTAAACCGAAACATAGCCATACAAACACAAGTGATTCACGGTAGAAACACGAATGGGGCAGATGTGCCAAGCAAACGACTTTTGTACAAAGTCTCCCTCTATTTAATTTTATTATATTAAGTAAAATACCTATGTTATTGTAAAACTAAGTAATACTTCTTTACATAAAACAATTAATTATCGCAACATCTCAGTTAAACTAACTGCAAACTCTTAATTAGTTAAAGTCCTCGGACGCTGATCGATTGTGTTCCAAGTCTCGCTGACCGCAAGCTGTCGATCAGTTGACACTTCGAGACAGAGAGACTTTGGTCCACTTTAAAGCAATTTGTCCAATTTACATAGTTTTCATTAATGATTTAGTTACTTATTTATTTAATACAAAAATACATAGCTCTTAAAAACACAACTTACATGCTATGTCTCTTATAAATACAAATAATAACGGATTTTATTTATACAAACTAAAATTATAATTCTAAAGCGAGGTAGGCAAGTTAGAGTGGGTGTATGCAAGTAATATATGTGTATGTATGAAAGAAACCATGTATAATAATAAGTGTCTATAAAATCAGGTTAATTAATATACAAAATAAATAAAATCCATGTTGCTACAGTTCAGATATTGATAGCAATGATTAAGTTATACAATTTCATGGTAACCGATTGTAAACGGATATAAATGTAAGTTATTTAAAGAAATACATACATATTTAAAAATATATATATCAGAATGCGTGCCCCTACCTCATTTCTGTCGTCAAAGTTACGTGGACTTAGTGGCCATAATTACAGCAGTCGAAATCTTGGCAATATATAAATTACTGTACCTTCATCATTTATAATACTTACAATGGTAAATAAACTGACTGACATCTGATGGAAAGTGGTAACCGTCGCTTGTAGACATAAACTGTATCATAGACATAACAGAGTATAGTGTTTCGTCTATGATGCCCTTCACGCGTTGCTATTCTTGAGGACTAGGATATTATGTATCTGTACCCTGTAATTTCAATTCTATATTTCATCCTTCAAATTGAATTATTTCACCAGAGAGAGACTTTGTTCAAAAGTCGATTGCTTGGGTACCTCTGTCTCATTCGTGTTTCTACCGTGAAGCAGCTGTGTTTGCATGGCTGTGTTTCTGTTTGAAGGGTGGGATATGGCGTGAATTTACAGGGTATAGAGGAATAACACCTGAATCCTCAGGAATGGCAACGCATGGGGGGTATCATGGGCGAAACAGTATACTTTGTTATACTTCTTTATCTCGTGGTATCGTTATTACTTCTTCAGGCGAGTTATATAAGACTCGACCAACGGCAATTAATTAAAAACTAAATGGGATTATTATTATCACTACATAGTATAAAATAAAGTCGCTGTCGCTGTCTGTCCGTCCTTATGTATGCTTAAATCTTTAAAACTACGCAATGGATTTTGAAGCCGCTTTTTAATGGATAGAGTGATTCAATAGGAAGGTTTATATGTACAATACACGCATAATATTGTAGAGAAACATTGATAAATTTAGAGGTCTCTTAAGGATAACCCACAATAACCATTTTTTATTCTTTACATTCTACGGGAAAAAATGACATATTTACGAAGTGATTTTAAGCAATACAGCATAAATTTTTATACAATTAAGTACCTTAAATACATTATCCATTCAATATAGATCAATATGGCAGTTACAGCATGTAATTTAAATGAATATTTCCGAAGATATTACAGATTTAAAATACAGGGACATAGTGGTGCGGCGGTAATGTATTGCACCCGTGCGAAGCCGGGGCGGGGCGCTAGTAACTATTAAAGAATACGGGGTAAATGCATTGAGGCAATAATTAAAATTGATTGGAGGTAACATGGTTTGCCTTTTGCCGACGGTTAGTTAAATGAAGCGATCCGTCGATCTTATATTAAATTAATTGTATCGACTCCTTTGATGTTGGTAAGTATTTTATCGTTTATGACGTGCTCTGTGGGGAAAGTATGTATTAATTACTTACTGCTAATTCTCATATCATATGACTTAATTAAAACGTTCATATTTGACAATGCGGTTACTGAGAGATTGTTCTTCTGTAAAATTGTATCCCCTTGAATCAAATTAATTATGGTTTTTTTTTTAACGCAATATTTGTATATATATATATATATATATATATATATATATATATATATATATATATATATATATATATATATATATATATATATATATATATATATATATATATATATATATATATATATATATATATATATATATATATATATATATATATATATATATATATATATATTTACTAGCTGACTTGGCAAACGTTGTTTTACCATATACGTCATTTCGAGCACTATACATGAAAATTTATCCTACTACAATTATTATATTGGATTGCCATCTTGCAACCTATAAATCTTACCTTATAAAAATCGCGATTAAAAAACAGAGGTTGATCATAAAAACGTGAAAATTTTAATTTGTATGTATTTTTCAATGCTAAATCATAACACAATACAAATGTAAAAATTTGTCAAATAAAATGTTTTGGGAAGGGTCACCCTTATCGTTGAGTGGTATGAAAAATAGATGTTGGCCGATTCTCAGAGCTACCCAATATGCACACTAAATTTCATAAAAATCGGTAAAGCCGTTTCGAAGGAGTTTTGTAACAAACACCGTGACACGAGAATTTTATATATTAGATATTCTTTATTGCACTTGAACAATAGATACAGCGGTTAGTTCAACAACTTGTTAGCAAGGGAGGGCTTATGTCTAAAAGACATCTCTTGCAGCCAACCCAGTGCAGTTAGAGAGAAAATAATTAATTGGCGGGTAATCTGGTGCAGGAAAGGTACAGGTAAAAATAATATGAATAAAAGAAACATACATAAATTGTACATAAATAAACAAATATATATGTACATATACATATGTATAAGTGCATATATGCAAATATACATATAAATAAATTTTTAGCTGAATGTCAGCATAAGGGAGACGCTTGCCACATATTTATTCGGGTTCCGTTTACTTAATCCTTCTGTTGTGCTTGCTAAAGGTGTGTTTCGGTTTGTAGGGTGGGATATGGCAGTGAAATTACACGGTACCGAAGTAAAACATTACTTCTTAGGAGTGAGAAATTTTGAGGGTCACCATATGTGTTATAATGTGTGTGTGTGCAACTTACCCAGTACTGTTGATGTTTATTGTTTAAAATTTCTAGTTCCATAATACATGTAACCCGAGTACCTTATATATATATATATATATATATATATATATATATATATATATATATATATATATATATATATATATATATATATATATATATATATATGGATGATAATGGAATGTAAATAAGGGGCACAGTTATATATATATATATATATAGTTTCCAGGGGGGACCACGTGGACGTCGACCTGCTAGGATATATTGCTAGCAATGGGACTGATAGTCTGCATTAGTAGCAATCCCTTTCCCCCACTTAATGTGGTCAATAAAGAATAAATAAACTTAGATTTATCCAATCTGCAAGGGCAAGCCAACACACACATGTCCAAACAGATGGTTTGTTTATAGACAGTATAGAAGAAAATATTACTGTAAAGTAAAAAATATAATGGATTTTATGAGATAAGTAAATATCTGTTTTCATTGTCGCCTTTTTGTAACGGTATTCTTTGCCATAACCTATAATGACTTGTTTTTATGTTAGCACATGAATTATTCATTCACTGTCATAGAATATGAAGTAGACTAATGAACAAGCTCAAATTTCATGGCGGACAAATTCATGAGATCATTAAATACTACATTCAATACAATGAATTTAAAATTTCATGAGTATTTATAATAATAATTTATTTTACCAGAGGGAGACTTTGTACAAAAGTCGATTGCTTAAATACCTCTGGTCCCATTCGTGTTTCAACGTTTTAGC